CTCTCCCCTTTTTTCTCGGATCATGCGGCTGTGTTTACCAATCAGATAGGGAGACACGCACTGCTATTTTGCCAAGCAAGGTTACCAGACTGTCGGGTCGTAACTAAACCTCTTTGATGAAAGAGCAGTGGGTGAAGTGTGCGCTGGTGTTTGACTGGCCAGCTGTGATCGAGGGACTGTTCAGCGGTCCCATACGTTCCATACTCCGTACGCATACATACATACATACTACTACTGCTGTGGTGGTGGTGGCGGTGGTAGTAGTAGTAGTAGTAGTAGTAGTAGTAGTAGTAGTAGTAGTAGTAGTAGTAGTAGTAGTAGTAGTAGTAGTAGTACCTTCGTTGCCCAGCGCTGGTCGTTACGAACTGATGCGGTCTTTTTTCTTCCTTTCGATCTAAACGAACAGAACCCACCCACTCACAAATATCCCCGTCGAGATGAGCCTTCTCTCGTTGCTCTCATACATGACACCACACTACTCGACACCCCTGTCTCCCACTCCCCGCTAGCTACATATTTTTTTTAAAATTTTTTTTCCTCATTTTTTCCCTCTATTTCCCTTCCGGTTTTGCCTGGAGCCTACTCGGGCAAACCCACTAGCCCTGGCCACAATAGCGGCTCCTCCAATTGTTAACCAAAAACAATGCCTACCACTGTCTTGCCCAACCCTACGGCAATGACTGATACTTTGGCCTAATCACACTTTTTCGGCGCTAAGGAATTGTGCATGACTTGGGATTATCGCGCCTATCTCAAAGTTGCAGACATGGGCTGCAGACAACCCGGTCCGGCCCTTTTCCCCAGCTAGACTTCCGACACCCCTACACCCTTCTTCTCTTCTTCTGTGGCTCTTATTCACCGCATTCATGCACATCCAGTCCGTCGAATCTGCCTTGGCTGACCTGGCGTCAAGGTCACTGCTTGACGGCCCTTCATCGTGTCATTGCGGCGGAAACTCCCCTCCAATTGTCATATGGCTCGGTTTATCGAGATCGCCATCAGCCACAGTCTATGCCTGTTCCTGACCTCACCTATCGGTAGAAATGCTACTGAGTCACCAGCACTTATATAGATCATATTTACCCCCTCTCTTCTTTTGTGTTCCGAATCAAATACAGAGTTTTCGAATCCGCGAGCTACTCATTCAGCAGGTAGACGTCTAACGAGCGTGAGGACAGCACAACTGTGTTTTAGCGCCATACCTCCCACTTTCGCTTCAGTCTTCCTGTATTATTTCGTTGATCTTACATTCTCTTTGCTGTTGTGTTTCGTTTCTTGATCAAACAAGATTGTATATCTTAAGCATGGAGCAGGCTCCTACATCGTTTTCTTCGCCCTCGACCTTCGTTCGATCGCCACCGGATAATCACATAATGCTTGAAGATACTTCCGCTTATTCGTCGCCTATGTGCTCTGTGTCTAGTTATCCGAGCAACTCGCAGTCGACCACTGGCTTAGGAATCTCCCATTGTGAGATGGAAGGTCCATCCAGTCAGCTAAGGCTGTTTCCACCCGACACATACCCATCGCCGGTAACCGAATGGCCGAATCAGCTGATGCATCCCGGATCCCTTCTCGAGACGACGCTGGACGTTAGTCATTTCTCTCCAGGGCCATGCTACGAGCCATTTGGTAGCCACTCTGATGTTTCTGTCTCGCCCCTTACCTATTACAGCCCGCAGACTCTGAACGCCCCATCTAGCTACTGCCCTGCTATGGATTTCGCCGGAAATCCTAGCACCTTGAGTGCCCCATCCTCTCGCTTTTGGCCGAATACCCCCCAATCCGACGCTGCTATCTCCGAGATCCAGCCCCCAGTGAAGGAAGAACCTGACGACACTTGGGAGCAACACCTTTTGACAAAGGTCAGTGACCCTACAGGGACTGGCTCGGCACCACAAATGTCTCACATATCGAGCAACGATGCTTATTCCAAATCTCGACACTCTGCTGGTAACGGTAATGGTACTTTGGTCGAATTAAATCCAAACGTGGGACGCCAAGGAGATGACAGCCAAAAGCCTACAAGGAATGTGCCCGTTGTAGTCTTTCAATTTACAAAAAGTGATAGCGAACTCCCTGATGAGCGGTGCAAGATACTATCTGCAAGTGGCCTTGAATGCACGATATGCGGTATCCGGTTCACTCGACGCTCTAACTGTCGCGAACATATAAAGAGGCATGACCCAAGCCTTAGAAAGTCGTACAGCTGCGAGTTCTGCGATAGGCCATTTGGAAGAAAGGCTGACCTTCGGCGACATGTAACTAGTGTGAGCTGAACCCCGACTTCCTCATAGATACATGGCTGATAGAATCGCAGATTCATCATGGAATTCGAAAATTCGGTTGTGAGGATTGTGGCCAGCGGTTCAGCCGACAAGATACACTTTCGAGGTAAAAAAGCTAATCTCCCATGATGTATATGTGTATACAAGCTAATATGGTTTGATGTTACAGGCACAAGGCAGATGGTTGTCACCGAAGACCACGGGCCACAGATATCTCCAGGAAGGTGGAAGCTATTCAAGCAGCTCAGCACCCCCCTGGACCCCACCCCAAAGAGCCCCGCTGCAGAAACAAACGACGACAGTCCTTACCGAAGCAATAGCTGCATGCCTGGCACAGTGATCGAGAACAAACAAGATATAAGTGAGCCATTACTGCGTTGATCGCGGATATGGTAGATACGGTTATACGCATAACTTTCCAGGTCAGCAATGAGTGATGTACATTTGTCTGGAACATAATGAATGCTCTTGAGGATGAGGTGGCTATCTGCTTTGTTTCATGAAATTGTTTTGCATGACAATGATTTTGGGGAATGCTGTTCGAGTTTGGAATTGTGGCTATTTTCTCTTTTCTCTCCCTTTTTTCACTTTTTATCTTTCCCCCTTTGGTGTTTTTAGAGCCAGTACAGCATCTGGGGCCTATAGAAACGAGCATCATCGCATGGCTGGCCCATGCTTGAACATATGAATTTGAACGACATGTTATTCAGAAACCTTCTTAATTATGACTTTAACTATTAATCTTAATCTTCTTTTTTCTTTCTCCCCCGGGGGATATTCAAGTCGGCTAAGCCGTTTCGTGCACGAGCCGACGGCTCTGGAACCTTATAGACGCCAACGACAACACTAGGCAGGTCCACACCATCGCAAAACTCAATGATCACCTTCTCTGAAATCTCATTTGTCGAGTTCTTGTGATGGTCAAGCTAATAAGACCTAGTATCTTACCACGGAAGCTTCCCCGTACGCGACCCGGGTGATCACCAAAGGATTCACCAAATTGCTCACTACCTCCTCCGTAGTGCGAAATACAAGGCAACGGCCGAAGGGAGACAAAGTACTCCGGGCGGAGGAGTAAAGCTCGCAGCTTCGTCCATACCTGAGAAACTGGAGGAATCTAGATCCGCCATTTTAATGCCAATATCGACATGCTTGTCATGACCACTAATATTTCATACGATGAGATCGCGCTTGTAATGAGTCAATTTGCACTGCTCTGGTTATTTCTCGTTAAGCAAATCTGGCCTTCTGAAGTTCGGGGCCAACAAGCCGCCCTAAAAGTAGCACAGGTGTCTGGAACGGTTACGTGTGGATAAATTTCTGGAAGAGCAGCCCTAAATCCTTTAGTCCTAAACAAGCGCGTCCCCAAGCAACGCCGGTAAGTGGCTACCGCTATAGCGTCTAACCTGCCTCGGAGATTGGGGGAGCCAGGGTCAGGCTTTCGATAGTTCCATGAGCTGGTTGATAAAAATGGGTGGACCAGATCATTCATTGCCTGGATTGGCTGCGGAGATAATTGAATGCGTATTTCTTAAGGTTGAACCGAACCTACTACTATAGCGTGAAATAATTAATAGGCAATGGCATACCTAGGTATATAGGTAGGTACGGAATAGTACTTCTCGAATAGGAAGCTGTAAAAGAAGGCTGGGGGTGCCGATGAAAGAATTTGTCATCCCGCGCGCTTGAGGTTGGCAGATCATCGACCATCGGAGCATTTCTTCCATTTGTCGGTCCAGGAACTCCAGGCACCGTGTGACCGCAGTAAACTAATGGCATGAAGTTTATTGACTGCGGTTACTGGATTTATTGTATTGATTTTAGGCGGTCTCATTGTGCCTCATGATGCAAGCATGTTGGGGGATTCTCCAAGCTCCCCTAGAGCCCGGGTAAGACGCGCAGTCTCCGGGTGTGGTTTTGTTTTCGTTCTGTTTGTACTCAGTACAAAGTCGACATTCGTTGCAGATATTGATAGGCAAAGAATAACTCGAGGCTAATTCTGCATACAAGGACTCTGGAGCAACTTTAAGTTTTTAATAAGGGTAGGAAATCATCCGCCTACCGAGTCATTTCGACTCGCGATATAATTCCAGAAACGGGAAGTTTCCAGGATCGTTATTGGAATTACTATTATTTTAGATTAACCAGGGATTGATCTGGTAAGCATCCTTGTAACCTATCATGTGAAGTTCTGGCTAGAGAAACGTACGATGTACTGTATGTGTCTACGGAGTACTCGGTACAGTATCTCCAACCTTATCTCCTCGGGCCACACGCTAGACCAAGGGACACTATGCTGAATCCATATCCTGGGCGTTGTCAATAGTCCTTGCTACTATTGCCACCACAGGTTATGTGGATTTATTTAGATATTGTATTTGCTATGATACGTTCTATAGCAATGCAGTATAATGTGTGAATCTGTCTCAGTTCAGCTGATGCTGACGAGTGAGTGTCCACTAATCCCAATCGAGGTACTCAAGAATGCGGCCCGGAGACATTTGGTCATTGTTAAGCCAACATAAGCATAGCACTAACTATTAAGTACAAGAATATGCCAAAGGCGGCCAACTTCATATCTCAAGAAGGATTTCACATCCCCATGCTCTTGCAGGTCTGCTACGTTAACAAGTATGCTGGCGGTATATCTGTACAGCCGAGTTCAACTTGCTCCGAAAGATAGCTCAGAATATGCTCGGCACGACAATGGTACATTGGTATGAGGTGGACTAGCAGCCGACTTCCAATGTCACAATTCTGATATCATTAGTAATAGAACGCAGGCTAAGACGTAAATTTGACCGCGGTGTCTCCATTGTTCACTTTCTATACCTTGCATTCCCCCGTCGGATTGGGGCACATCTGTACTATTTCTTCTCTTGATATATTTCCATCTTCAGGGATATCAAACATCTTGTGGATGCTACTGGTTGTCACGATGATACAATGTATGCATGTCCGGTCCTGCAAAGTGGATTTCACCACCGGTTTATTCCATATACAATTAGCTCTCCTCCATTGGTCATATCAGAGAATTGTATTACTGTAGTAGTATCTCAGTCCATCAAGTGCTAGCCAATAGGGGTTACGGCTTTGTAAGTTTACTAACACTATTAAGTATGGCCAAAACCTACCTCGTATGTTAAACTCAGTTTGACATGCAGTGATCAACGTATTTGGATATTGATCGCTAGGGCCGACCGCCTGCAGCGTAACTATAAACCACCCCTCTACTAAATTGAGAAGATGGTTGCAGCTGACATCCCATGATCTTATATGGGGGGGACCACCCATGGCATTTTTTCAACCCTCGGCCTTTTGTCCTCCATTGAAATGCACGTGTTCCACCTCATATAAGTACAGAATGCTGCGTCATTTAGGCTACACAACGGTACACAACCCCAGTAACTTGTCTATATGCACGGTCTACACATATAGAGGGTATCAATATGTACTACAAGACACTTATACCGAACTCTATATACGTGCTACTATATCCAGTAGCTATCCTAGATCTACCATGGTCGCTGTCCATGCTTGGTAGATGGAAGTGCTCGCAGCGGTAGCCTTGTCTAATACAATCCAGCGTTCGGTTGTTCTAAACTGCTCTTCTCCGTATGTCAAGCTGCTACTCCGGGCTGAGCGATGATTGGTGTAACTAAAATGAAAAGTGAGCAGCTAGCGTAAGGTGGGTGACATTGTACTACTCTGTACGGAGTATGACAACCTTTCTGCAATAAATTACGTGGAGGCCCGCAGGGGACTGGTTGTTTGCCTACAGGTATCCATTACTATAAAGACCCATCACTGGAGGATTGCCCAATAGCGTGCGTTTCAGATCTACCACTAATTTTGCCCTGATTCACCGCCTCCGAGGGGCGGAGATTACTCCTAGTAGGTATTTTATTCCCCTTTCCCCCTCCAAAAGGTTGGATCAATAAGTACAATACCCCTCTTTGGATCTCTATTTTATGAGCGTCATACTTTAGTTAGTCACAATGAGCACAACTACTACAACTACCGAACCGCCCAGAATCACGGCAGAGAATGTCGCCACTCTCTTCCCAGAGGTTGATACTTCTTTGGCTCGTGAAGTCCTCCCAAAAGCCGATGGCAATCCCTCCGCAGCGAGCAGCACTGAGCTGGCGGGTTACGACGAGGAACAGGTCCGTCTAATGGATGAAGTATGCATCGTTCTGGATGATGACGACAAGCCTATTGGAAGTGCTAGCAAGAAGACCTGTAAGATGCTCCCTCTATATGAACACTGGTCTGGGTGCAGTGCCGCGTTCCTGCTAGCGACTTCCTCTTTCCCTTTTTGCTAATACCGTTTACTGATGGCTCAATTAATCGGTGAAAATAGGCCACCTTATGACCAACATCGACCGGGGCCTTCTCCACCGTGCCTTTTCCGTGTTCCTCTTCGATTCCAACAAGCGCTTGCTCCTCCAACAGCGCGCCAGTGAGAAGATCACATTCCCGGATATGTGGACAAACACATGCTGCTCTCACCCCCTTGGAATTGCTGGTGAGACCGGTTCTGAGCTGAATGCCGCTATTCTGGGCGTGAAGCGGGCTGCGCAGCGGAAGTTGGAACATGAGCTTGGAATTAAGCCGGAGCAAGTACCCCTGGATAAGTTCGAGTTCTTCACGAGAATACATTACAAGGCTCCTAGCGATGGGAAGTGGGGGGAGCATGAGAGTATGTTCGATATCCGTTGAAATTTACTTCATAACTAGCTGTCGTTGAAAACTAACATCATTAAGTCGACTATATCCTCTTCATCCAGGCAGATGTAGAGTTGAAGCCTAGCCCGAACGAGGTTCGAGACACGACGTATGTCTCGGCTGACGAATTGAAGACAATGTTTGAGCAGCCGGGATTGAAATTCACGCCCTGGTTCAAACTCATCTGCAATTCGATGCTGTTCGAATGGTGGAGCCACCTCGGCTCTCCAACCCTGGAGAAGTACAAGGGCGAGAAAGAAATCCGGCGTATGTGAGATACGATTCCACGAAGACCGATGATGTGATGTTATTCGGTTCTGCCTTGCAACATAGCGGGTACTTTTCGGCTGTTTCGACCCGTTTCCCTGAGTGATGATACCATGGCATGGGCCAGTCCAACGTATGATTATTATTTGGACAGAAGTTATCTTATATTTATAGTTACCCTATCGTCATTTATTGGGGGTTGATGACAGATCCCTTCTCTCTTGTTACAATTTGGCGTCCCATTTAATCATGACATGCGACTACGATAGTGCATTGTTTAGAAAGCATACTCTAGGCGGCATCCTCTTATTAAGCGAAAAAGCAATTCCCATTCTCATTAATTTTTATTATTTGCATCCGTTGCCAAGAACAGTATACAGCTCCCCAGAATCACGGTTCCCACCACTGTAAATGTCATTTGTGTTTTCCATCCGCTCTGTACCAAAGCCGCTTTACGGCTGTACTTTCGCACAGTCCGTACATAGTTTGCAAACCCGTTAACCAGACAAGCTAAGCTAAGGATCCAGAAAATAATACCCAGCGGCAGAGCCATCCGTCGCTCGAGTCCGGTCGGCCCGCCATGAAAATGGAACGAGATGATGATAGCTACTGAAACGACCGCAAGGTACATAGAGAGACGGAGCCAAGACAAAAACGTTCGTTCGTTAGCGCAGTGATCCCGGGCGTCGGAGGTGGCATTCTCGAATAACAGGGCTCCAAGCCAGGGACGGGATAGGAAGATATGGTGGCCGTCCTCTAGGTGTCTTTTTCGGAGTTAGTCCCAAGTCTTCTACTTTTTCTATTTTTTTTTTCTTTCGTTCTTGCTTCGAAATATTGTTCATAAGGACTAGAAGCGCTTACTCGTCTACCAGAACGGGGTTTGCGTTCGCCGGGTTGATCACTGGATTAAACCGCGGCCGAAGAGAAGAAGCATTTTGGCTTGTCGTAGATTCTGGCATATTGGAGGGGGGGAGGGTTGTACGCCCAACCAGAGTATGAGCGAAACACTACCGCCACAATATAACAATAAGTCGCATCTTTCTATTCAAAAGGAGCAGAGTCGGGTGTCCATATGTTAGAGATCCGATGACAGCCTCACGTGATTCGCATGTCTAGTCTCAATCGGGAATGATGTCACTAATCCCTGCATGGTCATCTTCCTGGCATTGGCTTGCACGTTTCTTCGTGGCTTCATTCAGGTGACCGGGTTGGCTCATAATCAACGGGAATCAAACGAATTAAATCTCGCGGCAGCACCCTAATGACCGATGTTAAAGAGACGAAGCATCGCTAATAGATCTTGGATCGACACCTCCACCACGCGAACCATTCTCTATGGATCGTTTCTCACCCTCCAAGGTTCATGGTGGGGGTCGGCTTTGTGGGGTCCTGCTTGCAAGCCTGCTCACTAGTATGACATTTGCAGGACAATGGATATAGCATGGTCCTTTTCATCTGTTGATTCTACCCGATCATACCTGTGTATATCAAGCAGAACTTATCCCGTATTGATCGAGGGGGGAAGAAAACGTTAGTCAATACGAGATGACTCAAAAACGGCCCATGCATCGTTGGAGCCAAAAGGAAGTGGATCCAACCCATACAACGGGCCATACAACTTTATTTCAATGGCTGAAAGCTCTTTAGAGGCAAAATCTGCTGATGGGGCGTAATATGATTACCTGCACCAACGCCGCCCCGCTTCTGCTTTCGTTTCATTCTCCCTTCCTTCCCTGATTCACCGCTTGTGTCAATTGACAGCTCCCCTCGAGCTTGTAACAGTATCTCTTTGGCGCCATCAAGCCATGGTGAAGGAGTATCCTTAAATTAGAATTTTCGACACATACCAAGCTTTAACGTCTCTCCACTTACCCTTTGTGTCATTACATCACCGCCGCAATGGGCCGCGGTAATAATCCGCGTTCAGCAGAGGAACAAGCCTTACATGGCGGCTTCTTATCCAGCTCCCCGCTCGCTGAGGCCGCAATTGCTCGAGATCTAGAGAATTATGCGGATGACGAAGGCTCAATGATAACTACTGACGATGAGGCGTCCGAGACATCCACTATTCGCGCGATAAACAGTCAGTCCGGCACGAACCCCCATTCTCTAGCCGGATCCTACCGTCGTCCTAGCTTCTTCACTACAGTATCCCACGCCACAGTTGTACCATATACTGCAGAACGAGAGAGGCTGACACGCAGGGAACGCGAGCGCGCCATTGAGGATGAAAGGGATCTTCTCAGCGATAATAATGTCATGGACGCGAGGCTGAAGCGACGAGTGACTCCAACTAGTGCACCTTCAGGAGAAACTACGGCACTCCTAGGGGACCACGTAGGTGGTCGTGAATACAATGCCACGGATGATGAAGAGGTTGACAGGAAGTGGGAAGAGGCTGTCGCAGCTGGGCTAATTCACACAACATGGAGACGGGAAGCACAGGTGATCGGTAAAAACGCTGCTCCGTTAATGGTCACTTTCCTGCTCCAATATTCGTTGACAGTAGCCAGCATTTTCACCCTAGGCCATCTGGGTAAGAAAGAGCTTGGTGCAGTGAGTTTAGCTAGCATGACTGCGAACATCACCGGATATGCAGTATACCAAGGTTTAGCAACCAGTCTAGACACACTGTGTGCGCAGGCGTATGGTTCTGGGAGGAAGAAGTTGGTAGGCCTGCAAATGCAAAAGATGGTGTTTTTCCTTTGCACCATTACTATCCCGATTGCTGTACTGTGGTTCTTTGCAGACAGGATTCTTATGAAGATTGTCCCGGAGAAAGATGTCGCCGCGCTTGCTGGCTTGTACTTGAAGGTTGTCATCCTGGGTGCGCCTGGATACGCTTGCTTCGAGAGTGGGAAGCGTTATGTACAGGCTCAAGGACTCTTTTCGGCCTCGCTATACGTCTTACTCATATGCGCACCTCTTAACGCCTTTATGAACTGGTTGTTTGTTTGGGTAAGTCACAACTTGCAGTTACCTCACTTATTGTGGCTAACCCAAATATAGAAATTCCAATGGGGGTTTGTTGGCGCCCCTATTGCTGTAGCTATTACAGACAATCTGATGCCGCTATTCTTGTTCCTTTATGTGTATTTCATTGATGGTGCGGAATGTTGGAGTGGACTTACTAGCAAGGCCTTGCGCAACTGGGGCCCAATGATCCGGCTTGCCTTACCTGGTCTGGTGATGGTAGAAGCTGAGTGCCTCGCTTTTGAAGTACTAACCTTAGCATCGTCGTATCTTGGCACAACCCCCTTAGCTGCCCAGTCAGTTCTGTCGACCATCGCTAGTATTATGTTCCAAGTCCCTTTCCCCCTTTCAATTTCTGGCAGTACCCGCGTTGCAAACCTGATCGGGGCAACTCTTGTTGGTCCCGCTAAGATCTCAGCCAAAGTGACAATGGGCTATGCTGTCATCGTAGGGCTGCTCAACATGCTGCTGCTCTCCTCGCTGCGCTCATACATCCCACGACTATTTACCCCAGAAGAGGAGGTGATCGAGCTCGTAGCACAGGTCCTTCCATTATGTGCAGCGTTCCAGTTATTTGATGCCCTCGCAGCTAACTGCAACGGTATCCTTCGTGGAATTGGCAGACAAGAGATAGGCGGTTACGTCCAGCTCTTCTGCTACTATGCAGTTGCAATGCCCATTAGCTTCGGCACTACGTTTGGACTGGGCTGGGACTTACTGGGACTCTGGTCCGGTGTTGCTATTGCCCTTCTTTTGGTATCAGTGATCGAGGTGATCTTCCTAATACGAACCGATTGGGACCGTTCGGTCCAAGATGCTCTTCAGAGAAACGCAATGGCATAGAGTTATGACGGATGTCGGCATATTATGATGAGATAACGCTACGGTCTATGTTTATGATACCATCCATCGATTGTTGTTGTCTGTCGATGATGATGTTAGAGCTTTTCTGCCTATATAAGATTGCGGTATGACAAAAAACGGTCTGGGATCTATTTTTATAACGGCCGTGCACTTGAATGAGGCTAAGTTGGACTACGTTGATATGTATCTTTAACGTTCACGTACCGGATAGAGTTATACTGTGTTGATTTCATGTTTTAGTACCCTGAGTTCTGTACGGAGCAGCTAGTGTTCAATGAAAAACTGGAAAATACTAGGAGAAACAAGCTTTGATTTATCATCAGGATTATGAAACATAAAGTATGCTATCGGCGCAACGAAGACATGAATTTGACACCATTTGGTTTCCAGCCATATGCATAGACGTAAATAAGTAGTTAATAAAGATAGAAAGGCACCATAAATCTAATAATCCAATATAGCCCAGGTCTGCTCATCAACAGTCGAGAAAATCACACCAGCAGTAAGCAACTCATCACCAGCGCGGGCGACATCCGGCATGGGTAAACTCAGCTTAGCCGCAATGAGCTGAGCATGTAGGCCTTCATTGCTTTGAGGCTCCGTCTTCAACAAATTGTACACCCTCCTTGCGACCGGGCTCATCGCAGGAAGTCCTCTGCCAGCGCTGTGATCATCAATACCACCCATAGTGGCATCAGCACCCCCCATTCCACCAGCAGCGGCACCGGCGCCGCCGGAGTCACCAACAGGACCACGAGTAAAGAAAAGATGCACGGCAACAGCCTCAAGCATGTGGCAATGGAGCTCATTGATATCTGTCAAGGGCCGCACGCAATGTGATCCTACAAATCGCTTATTTCCGAACGTCTTTAATTTTCCGAATATCTTGGCATATCCGTTGTTCACGACTTGATTCTTTCCTGCACCTGCTTTGCCATCATCTGTGTCCATGGTGTCCGCTGTGGCCGAGTCAACCCATTGTTTCACTTCGATTTCGCCCGTGCCGTCGTCAATTCTATATGTGATGTTTGTACTTTGGGTGCTGATGTTACGAACTTGTCCGACGAAGGAAATGCTGCCTACGTCAGCGCCGTCAATCTGGTAATCGGCTTCAGGATAAGGTTGTGTTGCGTCGAGGGCTTGCTTGATTGTGATGGGGCGAAGTGTGGTATTGTTGCCGTCTGCGCTCTGTTTGCGATATCAAAATTAGCATGAGCCGGCCTTAAACTTATAATAGCACATGGTGTATCCCAAGCAATCCGCTATTTGGAGCCCATCAATACCTTTCCACCAGCGGGGCTGTTCGTCTCTCCTGGCATGAAGCCACCACCGCCTCCATAGGAGGAAGAGCCGTAACCATAATTATCTGAGAGATATCAGTAAAGACCGATCAAATAAAGATATTACCAGTATATGAACGAGAAGAGGAGGTACTTACCCATTTTGTATTATTCGTGCTGAAACTAAGTTATGCAACTTGGAGCTCTATCATCAATGACTTCGTGAACGTAAAGCAATTATCGCCATTTTACCGCTTCTGGACGCGTTGGACGCGTTGCGGGGACAGGTTTGTTTGAGAGGTTTGCATTACAACTTCGGAGAAACTTTGATCCCTGACCGCCTTGACTTTTTTTCTCCACCGCCGACAAAAAAAAAGTTGATGATCGATAAGAAGTGCTTAATTATCAGACGAGAGGAGCATTGACTTTTCTCGTGGTTTTCAATCGCTTTTCAATCGCTCTTCTCAGGGGTTGTTTGTGCTTTGTTTGAGATACCCAGGTTTTATTTGATGAAGTTATTTACGCAACGAATTTGGTCCCTTTCTCAGCGAACTTTTAAATCCCGCCGCCTTTGCTGGAAAATAGGTACGATAGTTGATAGAGGCCAAAATGCCTCACCGCGCAGCGTCCCCAGCGGCGTCAGAAAATGAGTTCGATATCACAAATGCGCTTTTCCAGAATGACAGCGATTCCGACAACGATACGTCTTTGAAACAGACAAAGCGGCCACAGAAGGCGGCTCCACCTCAAGAGCTTGATTTTCTTGGAGGAGATGTTGACGACGACGAAGATGACGAGGCGTTCATCGCAGGACAACAGGCTTCAGCCAACAGGAAGGCTTCTAATCTCAAGGGCCGTACTGTCAAGAAGGGAGGTGGTTTCCAAGCAATGGGACTGAACGCGCACCTGTTGAAAGCCATTACCCGG